TTTAATCTATTGGGTTTCTAATAGTTTTTATGAACGCATTGTATAATTCGGAAAATAACGAATTTAAGATCATTTTAGATCTCTTTGTCAGTTTTACTTAAAATTCAATACACTTAAAAAAATTCTTGATAAATTTATAAGAAAATTATTTTAAGAACTTTTGCAAAAGTAATAAGAATAAAAAATTTATGATGAGATTAAAAGGTTAAAAAGCTTTTCTTAACATTTTTCTTCATAACTCTTTCCACTTTGAACGAAATGCGTCTTCTTCGTTCATGGAAGTAAAAACACGTATTTCTTACAAAGCGGAAAGATGTATGGTTAATTAAACCATGCGAATTGTCGATACGGCCGGATATATCCTAATTAAACGTCCTCCAACGCTTTCTGGGATCCAGATTGTGACTTGAACTCGAACCCGGATCCCCAGACAAGCACGTTTACGCAAGAAATGTGTCGTCTTTCAATAAACGACCATTTTCAATAAACTTTATATTCTACTTCAGGTAATTAAATAAAAAGAAAATAAATCAAAAAATGATATTAGAATAGAGATTTAATCATTCAAAATTTTTATCCATAATGAATATCAATCTATTAGATCTAAATGTAATAATCTTTTTGATTTCGAAATTTGTAGAGAAAGTATTCAAATCTCTGAAGATCCTCACTATTTACTGAAGGTCGTGTTTTTTTCATTGCTTCTTGGAAGTGACGCATTTCAATCTCGGCAATGAAATCCTTGTCTGTTCCTGAATTTTCAATATCTTCTTTTATAGCTAATTTACAAGCATTTTTGCAAACTTGGCTTAAATCTGCGCCACTTAATCCATCCGTTTTTCTAGCGATGGAGTCCAAATCGACATCGCTTGCTAGTGGACATCGTCTCAGAGCAGCCGTCAAAATGCTCTTCCTGTCTGATTGATCGGGTAATGGAACATAAATCACTTGATCTAAACGACCAGGTCTTAGAATGGCAGAATCGATGGCATCCGGTCGATTAGTAGCGCCAATGAAAAATATCTTGTTATTCACATTTATTCCGTCCATTTCTGTCAATATTTGCGTAAGAACGCGATCGGACGTTGAGTTGTCTCCGTCGTAATTAATGCGTTTTCTAGCTATAGAGTCGATCTCGTCGAAAAACAGCACGCAGGGTTCAGCTCTTCTAGCTTTGTCGAAGATCTCTCTCACGTTGGCTTCTGTTTCACCGAACCATTTGCTTAAAAGCTCCGGGCCGTTTATGCAGATGAAGTTTGCTCCACAACTGGAAACCATCGCTTTGGCCAAAAGGGTCTTTCCGCATCCCGGTGGTCCAAATAGCAGAAATCCTCGAGCAGGTGACATTCCGTATCTTAGGAATTTATCGGCGAATTTTACCGGGTATTCGATTAATTCTTGCAATTCTTTCTTAACATCTTCTAAACCTCCTATATCTTCCCAAGATACGTTAGGGTTTTCCACTACGCATCCTCGCAGAACATTTGGACAAATATTTTTTAAAACAGATTTAAAATCACTCATTGTCACGGCCAGAGAATTTATAATTTCATCTGTTAGTCCATTCTCAATGTCATCGAGACATATCTTTTCTCTTATTTGATGGAATACGGCTTCTCTGCAGAGAGAGTGAATGTCGGCGCCAACGAATCCATGCGTTTCTCTCGCAAGCTCTTCTATCTTTACATCTTCGGCCAACTTCATTCTTCTTGTTGCAATTCGAAGAATTTCTAATCTCTCATTAACTTGTGGAATTCCAAAGTATATTTCCCGATCGAATCTTCCGCTTCGACGTAGAGCGGGATCGATATTATTGGGACAATTTGTGGCAGCAATTACAGCCACTCCGTTCATTTCCGTCACACCGTCTAATAATGTGAGAAATTGGGACACGATTCGCTTTTCTACTTGTCCCTCGACTTTCTTTCTGTTTGGTGCAATGGCATCTATCTCGTCAATGAATATTATTGCCGGAGCGAGCTTTTCGGCAAAAGCAAATATCGATCGAAGATTTTTCTCCGATTCGCCATAAAATTTGCTTATGATTTCAGCACCGTTTATTAAGAAAAATTGTGCTTTCGATTCATTAGCTATTGCTCTGACCATCAAAGTTTTTCCTGTTCCGGGTGGCCCGTACATTAAAACACCTCGCGGCGGTTTAATTCCCATGTTGTTAAATACACTTGGATATTTCAGAGATAATTCGACTACTTCCCTAATTTGTAATAGTTGGGAATTGTAGCCACCGATATCGTCGTATCCAATAGCATTCATTTCTTTTTCTAAGTATGCTCTTAAGATTGCACTTCCTTCGTGATATACGATTGTTTCCGGAGCGACGATACAAAAGGGATCGGGATCGACCGCAATTATTTTAAACTCGACATTTCCTTGAGGGCCTTTAATAAGAAACAAGTCTCCGTTATATACTGGTCTATATGCCCTCTGAAAGTATGGTTTCAGATAATCGTCGAAAAGTTGACAATTCACTGCCGGGATTGTATCTTCGATTGGACGAACATGAATTTTTTTTCCATAATCGATATTATTTATGGTACAAATTGTGACGATATCTCCCTCTTTCACTCGTAAATTTATTCTTACGTATTCATTCATTCTGATGTTATCCATTGGACAGGTTGAATCTGCCAAGGCTATGCAAACTGTTTTTCCGCCATTTCTGCCTTTTAAACGTACGTATTGGGAAATGCCGAGTGTCTGCATTTTTGTTGGCGACAATCTTATTATAGAATTGCCATCTTCTGTATGCTCCACAATTAATTTGTTGAGTTTCCCACCGAAATCAGACTGAGAAAATGTCATTTTCAAAGTTGATATTATTAAAAATAGATTTGCGAAAATTAATTTTGTTAATTTAACAATAGTGTGGATTAACAATAATATAGTTTAATTACGTCAACAAAACCAGAAACAACAATCCGAAAAAGTTGGAATTTCATTGAAAAGATATTTCATTTTTTAAGCCAAAAATAATTCGTAAATTTATAAAACTAAATAAAGTTTTTTTCGTTTTCATTCGTAAAGCTTCTAGTCCTTTTTTCCATAAGATTTTATTCTTTTAAATCTACTTTGTTTTTTGGCTATTTAATCGGATTTTTGAGGAACCTTTACTTGTTTTTCTTTCTTTTTATTAGATAGTATTTTCTTTATTTTAAACAGTATACACTTGTGCACTTGTAACAGTTAAATTAGCGTAAATTATAGAATATTTTTTAAATGATAACAATGAAAGGAGGTAAAAATAATTATAATAAATCTTCAAGTTATATTTTAATTAATAATAATTTGCTCACTATAATTGAAGAAAAAAATTCCAGCAATTTAAACTATTGAGAAACAAGTAACAATTGAGTGTTAGGTGCATAAAGCATGGGTAAATTTGCCGAATTGGTGGATTACGTCATTATCAATAGATTGGAATGAATAAGCATTCTTACCAATCACGTGTTGTTATGTGATAAAGAGAGGCGTCAATACGTTTGCGGAGACTACGAGATGGTGACAAAAATTTCAAACAATAGACTATATGACGGAATACGCAGACGATAAAAATTGTCGTAAACACCAGACACATTCTATATATTTCATTCGTTCAAAAAATTGACAAAAGGAACCCGCTAAGGGGGCTGCGAAGCACGCTCACACAAGCTCTCGTCCACCTCTGATTGAGAGTGCGCATACATTTATAAAAGTACACTAAATTCCTGTATACAGTATTTAGGAATTGAACACAATATTAGTGACTTTTACATATAAAGCAACCTGATTAACCTATAGAAAAGGTGTAATTAAAAAAAAATAATTTCATCGGTCTTTGCAGATAAGCATTTGATAAATGATTTAAAAATCTAACCTTATGTATGAAAGCGTTTAGTAGATAAACAATTGAAAAAATTTTCATATTAACCTTTCGATGGCCCAAATCAATGTTGTAACGCTTACATAATTACTTATAACTCAATAATTATAAAAAATGTTATAGCAAAGTTTACCTTTTTAGTGCGCTTAAATTCGTCTTCGGTTACAAGAGGACGAACAGCTTTTAAATATTTTTCTAAAGCCGATCCAAGATGAGGAACCGGCTGACGAGGCAAACTATTATGATGAACTGTCATAGGACCAAGGCTGTTACAGTGATATGACGAGGACGAAATCTTCGATAGAAGTTTGAATGATCTGTCATACTGTTAATAAAATAAACATATTAAATCTTTATAAATTATATTAAATCAGGAATATAAAAGATTTACTTCAAATATGTTTATTCCGAATAAAATTCGAGAAGTCATTCTTGTACAATCCAATTTAAAACAAGTCCTCCTAGTGCCTACTGGAAAGAAATAGCGAAAATAGGGGAAAAGCAAACTGACGAGAATGAAAATAATTCGGATTACAATTAAGGTGCCAACTTTTTATAAGTAAAAAGACACCAGCTACAAAAAGAAACATTGCGTTTATTTTTCAGAACATTTCCGAACAACTTTTTGAAAATACTGTAACTGAAATTCTGTACAGTTACCAACTCTATTGTCTTATCGTACATCTATATAGATATAAGCTAATGGTGCTTCATTTCATTAATTTCTATCATGTAGTGAGCCTTTTAAAAATAGATGGTAGGGTAGCAAGTTCTCAGTAAATGCGAATCAATGATCGAATGGATAAAACCTGCGAACACTGATTGGTCGCAGATTGAGCACATTAATTAATTAAGATTTCAAGATTTTTTCACGTGTCAAACACCTAAATAAAGACTAGAAAGTCCTCCCGACAGACATTCCCAAGTATTGCGTTTGCTTATCCAACTAATACAATCATGTAATCACACCATCTCTTAAAATTTTGTGTTTTATGTAAAGAGAGCATCATGATATAAAAGTAACATTTTATAGTCTTTTGACATGCAGCAGCTTACATTTATGACAGCGTCCGGATCTATTTCACGTTTTCAAGTCCTCTTAAATGATGCTGCAGGAGCAGGGGAAAAGCGAAGCGTGCAGAGAACGAGAATCGAACTCGGACTCTACTCTATTAGTAAAAGTAGCTTGCTTTAACGGCGTTACTCAAAAGTATGTTATCGATTCTGATTAAATAATCTAAATTTTAAAAATTTAAAATATGTTACGCCATTTTTCCTTGCAATATAGCAAATTTTTGCAAGGATTTCTTTGTGTAAAGCTCACAATACTTGCGCTTATAGTTAAGATTATTATAATTATAATTTTTCGCGTATTTCTATATTCAAAATTTCTTAATTATAATTTAATATTAAATGTAATTTAAGTTTAAACTTTTATAAAACAACAATTTAAAAAAAAATTTAATTCAAATTCACTCACTAGAGGGCTACTTGTAGTTGTAAACACATGGAAGAGAGAGAAATTATTATATGTAACATTTAAAAATTAAATATGCATCCCAAAATGCAGAAAGACAAGAGAAAAGCAGAGTTTAATGATAGCTTAGGTAATTTTGTTTATTTATACAGCATATATTCTATTTTGTTATTAAAATCTTATTAATTGTTAACAGATAATAGGAAACTGATGAAGGAAGATATTATCTGGGATCTTGTTCCTGTCCTTGATGATAAATACCATTCAAATCTAGAAGAAGGTAAAAATAATTGTACAAAATTTTTAAAAACCTGAGAAAACTAAGTACCAATAAATTATTAAGGATCTCTTAAAAGTTTCATGAGTCTTTTACATATTACAATATCAATCCACCAAAAAATTGTTATAAAAACATCCTTTAATGGAACAGAATAGCTTAGAAAAAACAGGTTTAAGAACCTTTCAGTATATAACTGGTGTCTCTATTACATATTTTCACTGTTTTCATTATCTCCCTTGAGTAGAAAAAAGGTTATTTGCTTCCACAATGCAAGTTGTCTGTAGGAAAAAACGCCACCAATTAGACGATGTATAAAGTACTGAAATCTAGAATATAGCTAGTTGAAAAACCTGAATATACATAAATTTAAACAGGCGATCAAGAATAAATATATACTGTATTATAGGAAATAAATGGTACTTTTCTGTTAACTGGGTGCCATTCATTTTTACTACTATTTTTAGCAAAACCGATATTTTATTTTATAATTGACACATATTTAATATTACAATGAATATGTTTATACACCATTGTTTATACATATTTATAAGGTTTATCTGTAAAAAATGTGAAATTAATCATCATTTTTTCTAAAACTGGATTGCAAATTGAATGGCATCCAGTTAACGGAAAAGTATCAAATAGATTGATGTAAAGACCTACAAGTAAATATTTCTGTAGTTATTTCAAAGGCATATTCTGTAAATAATTCTGTGTTCTGAAAATTTATTATTGTATGGAATTTAAAAGGGGGCATCTGAAAAAGATCATTGTCCTATTGTTCATTCAATTTAATTAATAACATTTATTTTAAGTGATAAACTGATACTGTATTTCTAGTGTGCCTTGATCATGTTAATGGGCTGTTTACAGTTATAAACAGTCTGACTTGATGATCAAGGCAGTAAAGTCATCTGTCTTATATTCTGAGGAACTCAGATTCACATCTAGATTAAATGTTCAGTTTTTACAGGTGTTTAGATTTGGATATTGATCCTGTTCATAATGACCTGACTGTTCGGACCTGTCTTTAACAAGCAAACCCAATGATGATAAAGATTATAATATTCTTGTCTTGTATCATCAAATCAGTCAAATTAGAGAAACTTGAATAACTTAACAAGAGGAAAATATTAATAGTATCTAGTTTATTCACAAACCTATTATATCAATTCATCTGATTTAAATGTTAACAGTTTGTTGCCATCATTAAGATAATGTGTTGATATAGAAATGTGTAATAGACCATACATGTTTAATAAAAATATCTTAATTTAAATACACTATTTTATTTACAGTACTCTAATATAGCAAATTTTATATAAGATACACTATTAATTTAAATTTAAAATACTCAGGTTTTAATTAACTTATGACAGTATAAATTTATCTATAAACTTTTCATTTAATTGAATGTAAAATAAATTAATGGCAAAAACATTTATTTTCCCCATGCAATGTTATTTCCATACTATTCTGTGTACACATGCATATCAATGCTGCATCATAATTTAATCTTTTTGAAGACATTTTTAATGGAAAATGAAGTCCAGATATTAACGCAGTTCAATGCATATTACTGAAGTAATGACAGATGAATAGATAAAATTGTTAATGCATGGACAGGTGTCCACAGAAAATTTTCTGGGGACTTACTGACATAATTTACATCAATAAATCAATAAATTTTTATTTAATTTTTTGGGGGTTTTTTTCACAAGTAGATTATAGAATATGGTTATGGTCAACAGTGTAAAGTTACATATTTTAATCACTTTTCACATTATAATTGGTGGAAGTTATTACTTGATTTCAGGAGAGGGCAAGTGCCCCATTTGCTTCCTCTGCAGACACCCTTGTGCACAGACAATTACTTTTTTGCTTGACAACTGATAAGTTTTATTTGATGTTAAAAGTAAGGCACCATTAGTTGAATTAATTAGTTGAAGATGTATACTGATGAACTTATTTTTATAATAATTAAAATTTCATAATTTTATTTTTAATTTCTTAATACTATTTTATCATAAATGCCATTAAAGCCATATGATGATATATTGATCAAAAAGTAAATAAATAATAATGAAATATCTAATAATTTTTTGAAATTCTTTACTAATCAATATCTTTTCATGCTACTAATAAATGTATAAAAACAAAATTAACCATCATTATAGGTTACTTCATTAATGTTTTGATAATTTTAAACTTATCATCTTATATACAGGTACATCAGAATGACAATATTAAAGATATTGTCATTCTTATGTTTGGGAATAATCGTGTCTGCTCTATTTAGCTTATTATATAGTTTTAAACTTGTCTTCTCATAATTATTCAAAAAATGAAGAGGATGTTTCTAATTATAAGAATGTTTTTCAATTTTTTTGAAATTTATTAATAAATAATGTAATTCAAATTGTTTTTCTTTGAACAAACATCTTTAAGAAAACTCAAATGTCTTCATGCTGTATACTCTTAATCGGTTAACAAAAACATAAAAACAAGAGATGTCCAATTACTGTTTCAAATAATATTGCGAAAAAAATTAGCATGGTGTCAGAAACACTAATTACAACAGCTATTAGAATGTGGTAGTATGAGGTAATGCTGCAGCAGCTTTTCTCTGAAGTAAGAATTATGGTCAATGCAGATAGCCTAATCTGAGTGCAGGTGACTGGACCTTTGATTTCTTGCAATCTTCCATTGTGAAAAAGAAAAAAAAAAGGACGGGAAGGTTGAAAGTTGAGCTTATGAAGTGAAGACACGAGTTCAAGAACTCTAAACAATTATACCTAGAATGAAAAATTGTATTGTGGTTGACAGAGAGAGAGAGAGAGAAATTGATCTCATCAGGAGAAATTTTTTAATACTACTTACTCTTACAAAAGAAAATACTTGAGTTTTCTAAACAATTTTTGCTTCAAGGAAAGCAACTTGAATTTATGTTTGTAAAGCTTCCATAACTAGTAGTAGTAATTTTTTGCATATTCTATATTTCTGTATGTAATCTTTTTACAACATAATTTTTTTCTTTTCAGAATTAGTTTTTGTTGCTGAAGTAATTGATAAAAAAGAAACTTCTCGACTGGTTAAGCAAGTATTATTTATTTATATTTTTCTTTTATTTAGTTAAAGAAATAACAGATTGAAATTGTTAGTTAATTTGAATTTTTGAGAATAAAACAACTTCTGCCACATTATTTTTACAGTGTTGCAGAGGTTGCTTTATTCTTAAAAATAATGGCAATAAATAAATTTTTAATATGATGACTTCTAGAGGAACATGCTCTGACCATGGATGTATTCAAAAAGTCAGAAATCTGAACCTGCTGGACTGAAATGTGCTCATAAAGTTGGATATGAGAAATCATGACATTGTTTAATGTCACGATTTCTATATCAAAAAATTTAGATATGGCCACAATATCGATCAGAAATTGTGATTTTTACTCAGTTGTGTTTCAATCTGAATTAATGTTGCAATATGGAGGGCAAAATTAAGAATATAGCTAATTAGTCAAATCTGCTATCACTAGTAAAAATGATAGGTGCAGCAACTTTATTTAAATTCATAAAATGATGATAATTTAGCATTAGCATTTCACCATTGTCACCATTGACTATTATTAGCAAAATAGAAACAATTTTCAATAATAAGTTATGTGCTTCTATTAGCTTAACTATAAAAACACATTCAGAAAATCTGAAGAAAATGCCATTTGGATTCCTCTGAGGATGTCAACAAAGTTCCTTTAGCCATCACTCAGGCATATCTGATTTTTTAAATACAGTATGTGCAATCTCCTGTAATTGCCTGTAGTAAAAGGTGTTTAAAAGTTAAATGTATTTTTATAAGTGTTAAGTCATTTTGCCAAGTCCTTAGTATTATATAACATCTACTGCACACCGGATTGTATAAAATAAATATGATGTACTTGAACCTATAACCGATGTGTATCGAATAATCTTTCCACGACGAACGTTTTCATAATCCCTTCTGGGCTCTTCAATAGAGCGCAGATAATTGTCACCACACCGCACATTCACCATCTAAAATGGTTGGAGGAGATGGAAATTTTTAGAGCATACGACACATCCACTTGTATTAATTCAAGAGATGAAATCGGCCTTTCCATGGCATGGCAAAACCTACTACATACAGAGTAACAGCGAAATACTATTTATTAAATATTAAAATAAAATAAACAATAAAAATAGAAGGTACTGGGGAACATGTGAGAACAGTATTGAATAAGTATGTATCTCAATCGCACGTTTTTAAATATCATAATAATATCTTTCTCTTGAATTTGGACGTGGATCGTTAACTTCGATCATGTTCAAACATATCACGTGATGAAATAAGCGAACGATTCGAACGATTCAAACTCGAGAGAGTTTGTATATTTTTTCAAATTTCGTTTCTGGTGTTTGATCCAGCTGTTTCACCTGAAGAAGATCCCAGAAGGGGTTATGAAAACGTTTGTCGTGGAAAGATTATTCGATATACATCGGTTATAGGTTCAAGTACGTCATATTTATCCTTAGTATTATTTTAGAGTATTTTTTAATGAGTTATTACACTTTCACAAATATAATTAAACTAAAATAAAACTTTTCACGGAGTATAAAAATCTTTGATATTGTTATTCTGATGTTTGGGAGTAATCGTGTTTGCTCTGTGTAGCTTTTCTGAAGATGAACTTTGCTTCTTCAAAAGCATTAATTCCAATAGTAGAAATTTTGCCAAATTTAAACTCTAAGAAAGCAGTTTCATCTTTGTTTTAGAAACATTTCAATGAACAAAATTTTAATGTTTTAAAAACTATCAGATTTTCATTTTTCTTTAAAAAGCTGTGAATTGAATAATTAAAAATTTTGATACATATGGGCGTCATCTTATATGCCGGGTGCTGCAGTTGGCTGGGATGCCCAGGGTATGGATAGAGATAGAGCAGCACTGTGCCCAGAAAAACATGCATCTTTCATCTGTCCAGCCCACCCTTGTATGTATCCTATTACCGTACCTCTTTCTCTGCCTCTCAGATTTCGCTCCTGAGGACTGCAGTGAAGCAGCGCAGGCGTGCACGTGTGAGATTTGAGAGGCGGTGCAGGCGTGCATGTGCAAGATCTGAGAGGCAGAGAAGGAGGTACGGTAATAGGATACAAGGGTGGGCCATTATAAAAATGTCCAACAGTCAGAACCCCATCATGGCTCCACCAGCAAGAAGAAAGAAATATGAAGCCAGTTTCAAACTTAAAGTTGTAAACTTTGCCATGGAACATAATAACTGTGCTGCTACAAGACAATATGGAGTAACAGAAAAGTTATTTGGTGTGCGTTGGAGGAGGGGTAGTCTTATATGGCAAGTACAGTATATCCCAAACTCTATATTTTAACTATAAAAGTTGGGGGTCGTCTTATACACCAGAAAGTACAGTATTTTCTAAAAATCTTTCATATTTACATTGAGTTTTAATTAGCATATGATAACATGATAATTTTTTTAATTATTTGTATTCATGGTTTATTTGGAACATACTTATTACAAATATTAAAATTGTATTATTAATATATATTAAGTAGTTAAAAATATATTTACAATAACAGAATCTATTTTCTTTATTGTCAAAATATCGAACATTCATACTTTTTCCAGAGATCTCTCAACTATATATCCAGTTCCTGAATTAATTCATCTGAAAAGAGTGAGAACAAGAAAAATTGGAGGTAAGATGACCTTTTGGTGTTTTATGAAAAATCCATCAAGTTTACATTTTGAGAAAAGATCTCCTCTGTAAACACCACTGTTACATTGTCAGTTTTTTTTTCTTAGGTCTTCAGTTATCTTCTCTGTCCATCTCTTCCTTGGTCTTCCCTAGATCTCTCCCCTCAATTTCTGTCCAATACCAACTTTGGCATTCTATTTTTTCCATTCTTTTGGTATGTCCAAACCATCTCAGTCTAATTTCTTCTATCTTCAACCCCAAATTTTCCATTCCTGTTCTTTCCCTTATATTTCTTCCTTATCCTGTCTCTTCTGATCTTACTTAGCATGCTCCTGAAGAATTTCATTTCTGCTGCCTGGATCTTTCTTTCTTCTTTCCATCATGTAGTCCATATTGCAGTTCCATAAGTCAATATTGGGACCTAGTATAATTGATAAAAGGTCTCTTTATATTTGAGTGGCACTTCCTTTTTTTCCAAATCAAAGTTCTCATACTCTGGTAGAAGACATCAGCTTGCTGTACTCTTCTTATTTTATATTATATTTATATTTATTGCTAGATATGCTTTGTATCAAAGTATGTTTGGTTAATCAAGACAAACTGCACTAATTTCAGATAATATTTAGTTTTTGTTCTTTTTCTGAACATATAATAACAATTATTTATTCATGTATTTCCTCAAATTTACTTTTAACATATTATTAACATATTAAATAGTGGGATTCAGCTAGTTTGCATTGTTTTGGCAGAACCAGTATCTAATTTTTTGTTGAGTTCAGAGAACCAGTTGTTAAAATGGCACTTGTAATCAGGGTTCTTTCTCTCAGGGTGGCTGCCCAGGCACCCATTAATGTGGAAATAATAAATTTACATTCCTTACTCTTTTTTAATTTCTTTTCCAATGAAATAATCATCCTCAAAATGAAATATATCCTCAGATTACTACTGTAATGTCTTGCCCCTGTACATCATACTTTTCTGTTAGCAATGGAGTCATGTTGGTCATCTCTCTAATTCCTTTCAGGAGAAAATTTTTGAATTGAAATAACATGACTTCCAGTTTGCATCAATTCATATATAGTTAATCGGGCTTCCTGCTCCTAAGCTTTCTATATCTGGGCTTCACTTGCATGTAATAACTCTACTTGAGATTAAGGAAAGATGGATGACAGTGGAAATTTATATGTCTACAACTTTTTCAAATTACAGCCAAAATTCTAAAATTTCATACCACTTGAAGAATTTACTAAGTAATTCATTACTTTTATGAAATTATTATAACAATTCAAATTTATTACCTTTCAAATGCCTTTATTAATGTGATTCACATGGATTTTTATTAAAGTTCTGTACATTGTTATATAAATAACATTGTTGATGATTGTGAATGCAGCTGATGGCAATATGAGGCTGCTAGATGATGGCCTCAGGCAGCATTTTTCATAATAAACCTTCCTTAAAGCTAGTTTGAGTATATTATCATAAAAGGAAAATTGTACAAGGCTACAAAAATTCAAGAGGTTATAAATTATGAAAGTGCTGTAATGTAATGTTACTATTATTTTATGTACAGTAGGGCAGCATTTGCAAAGCTTGTCTCACTTTATTATATTTCACCATCCAGCACTGTGTGAATACATGTTATATACAGGCAATACCTCAGTTTTTGTTGACATCTGTTATTGTCAGTTTTGGTTTTCATCAATTTTTTACGCAAAAAATTTGTCTTAATTTTCATTGGTTGCCTCGGATTTTGTCAGTGTGCCCACATGACCTCGCTGCTAATTTTGCATAAACAAAAGGTGACCCACTTGTTTTCCTGCTCAGTGTAGCATTGTTTCTCGTTGTATGAGCATTACCCCATGCATCTAGCCAAACAATTCCATTGCTTTCCTTTCCTTTTAGTTCCATCATGGAATCAAAGAAAGTTTCCAGAGCCAGCATCCCTTCAAATGCCATGTTAAATATTCATTTATTCTTTACACTAGTCTTTTATATCCATTTTAAATTAATTTCTTATTGTTTTTAGTATTAAACACTATATTTATTCTCTATAAAATGTGTTTTTGGTATGTATTTTGGAGCATCTAGAACAAATTACATTGATTCATATGGAAATAATTGCCTCGGCTTTTGTCAGTTTTGGATTTTGCTGATTGTTTTTGAACAGATTATCAATAAAAAGTGAGGTATCATTGTATAAATAAATTTTATGTAATTATTTTCAGTTTTTTTTAAAAAAATTATTTTACAGATGAATATAAAGTAGAAATTCTGCTTCTACCAGTAAAAGAAGTAAATGAATTAGGAAATTTGCAAGTGGGTGAAAATGTTGCAACAGAAAAGATACTAAGAAAAGCTATAACTAGATATGGACTTTCAGAATATGCAACTGTACATTCTGTGGCTAAAACTGCACCATTAACTAGAGCACAGTTTGAAGCTGCATCACTTTTATGGGCTACACAATTTCATGAGGATAAATAGTAAGTAAACAGAAATCTAAATTTAGTAATACATTAAAAGTCATTTGTAAAATAAATATAGGGATTTTCATATTTGGATTCAAAATTGGATTAATATTCCAAACTTAAAAATACAAAATGGCCTAAAAGTCAGTTAAGTAAGATATATTCTAAGAATGATTAAAACTGATTTGGGACAGGGTCTTTATTATTATTATTATTATTATTTATAATTTAACTGCTTAATCTGGATCATAAATAACAGCAAGTTTCATCCATTCTTAAAATAATCTTAAATTTTATCTTAGTTAACTGACTTTTGGATCACTATATATAACTTGACACACAAGTTTTTATATAGCAGACTTCTGCTTTAAGATTGCTTCTATGAAAAAGGTAGTTTATTTTACAATTGTTATTCATGAAGCAATTAAGTTGTGAAAGCAGAGTTTTAACATAGTATAAAATATGTTAAAAGCTAATGAATGAGTTTATAGTCAAGTATAGATTGTGTGCAAAATTCTAAATTGTTTAATTTCTTTTTCTTTTGGAAAATCATGATGCTAAGCTTATAATCAATGCATTCAGTACAATCATTTGACTCTAAGGTAAAAACAAAGGAATTATGGAACGTGGGACAGTGAGGAAGTGATGCAGTGGTATGGTTTAAATAATACATAGGAAGAGAGGAGGGAAGAATGATTTTGCCTACTCAAAAATTTGTGTGTTTTGAGTGGTATATGGATAATAAATAGAGACAATGTACATCAGAAGTTCAGTGATACACAGTGGCGTAGCTACCATGGAGCAGTTGGAACAAACTGCTCTAGGCACATGAATCATGAGGGTGCCAAGTTAGAAAGTTTTTCAAAACTAAAATTAATCAAAACTTATTTAAGAAGCAGCATGCCACAACATGTCTTAGTTCTTTGCTACTATATCAATTGAAAAAACAATAGCTTGTCAACTTGATCTGGAGAAAGTGGTTGACCAATTTGAAAATGAGAAAGGAGAAAACAACCATTTTGAAGTTTTTTTTAATGTATTGTTATGTATTTGTTATGAAACTAAATTTGCATACATTTTGTCAATACAGTTTATTAGTTTTCCACAACATTCAGAGAAATACATCAGTTCAACTACATCAAAGTTCACGTCTCTGTCATGAAGTTTTAGCAATTAGATATTGCTTGAAAAATGTTAATAAACCACAGGACTATTTCTTCCACTATTCATTTATATGATTCTCTCAACTACCAGATGGTGAGTGAATGACCATTTAGGCAATTCAGTAAAGACTGGAGTCCTGGATGTCAGACATTGTTGATTGTCTTGGAATTTTGACATGCTTCTGCACAACACTGACCTATTTTTTGGCCTATTTCATGTACTACATGGCACAGCATGCCTTAGAGACCAAATTTCACTCATAAAGTGAACACTGATAAAAAAGTGAATTAAATATAGCAGATAGAAATTTCATTTTATATTTTATTTAGATTTTTACTATATTTTTAAACTTAATTATACCAGGATTCAAATTTGCAGTAATTTATGCACTTATAATTAAAATATTATAAAAAAAACTTTTAATAACAAGTTTTAAAAAGATTTAATATTATAATTTTCCTATTCAGCTTTCATTTTAATATTTCAGTATTTCGAAGATATTAAATGACAAACTGTTTACTTTTAAAGATAAAAGCAGAATGGAAAATTATATGAAAAGAGCCATCGAAGCAGCACTTAAAGCAAAAGTAAGAAACATTTTGATAATTTTAATTGCAAACTTTGAAGAGATTTTAAAAAAGTGTAGTAAAAAGAAAATTTTATTATTATATTGCTTTTTTTAAAGTTATTTTTGTTTGATGTTTAATTAAAGATAATTATAAAAAATGTGAGATATGCAATTGTCCATTGGTATTCACAGGAGATTGGTTCCAGACCCCTGCAGAAACCAAAATCCATGGATGTTCAAGTCCCTTGTATAAAGTAGTGTATTATCTATACAGTGGGTGATCGGTTAACGAACAAATCGGATAACGAACACTTTCGCGAAAGATTTTTATGTTCGGACAACGAACACATGATCGGATAACGAACACCCCACAGAACAAACACAAGAAGAAGCGACGTAAATTAATGAATACCGATTGGTCTTCCCTTGTGTTCGGGCAACAATTCGAAACTTTTCGGAGTGTGGGAGACGTCGACATCGACGCTCAAGCCGATATATACCGATCGGATATTATTCCTCCGAACTTTGAAACTCTTCCTTGTAATTTCAGCCTTTTATTTTTCTGACAAAACAATTATTTTATGTATTCGTGAGACTGTCGGGTAGGCACTCGTTAAGTTTTGCATCTGTTTTTCTTTTCAAAAGGTGAGAGTATAATAGCAAAGGTAGAGAGTGGGCAGAAGATGCCTAATGTTGCTGGGCAGTATGGCGTAAACAGGTCTACAGTAGGCTGAAGTTCAATCTTATTTAAGAAACATACTGTATAATCAAGAAGACTCAAGCAGCTAAAGGAGTAACAAAAATCACATCTGAGAAATAAAGAA